AAAGCCTCAGATTGTCAGGCAGTACATGGCAGTTGTGGTGGAATTTAATGCTCTTCCTATGAATTTATTTGATAAACCTTCTGGTGATTGTTGTTAATTGTCTTAAACTGCATATTAAGCACTTGCAATAGGGGAAAATCTGACTTGAAATGCAGACACCTCCCCCATTATTGCACTGCTGCTGCTGCTTTATCACAGCTCAGTCAGCTCGTGCTCTTAAAATCTTCTCTTTTTTCAGTCATTCTTCTGTAGTTTCTCAGTAGCTAAGTAGTTGCTTTATCCTGTCCACTGGTTTCTATGTTTCTGGATAGAGTTCTTGAGGCCTTGTGTCACTGATGTGAGGTGGGACTTTGGAACACTTGAATGCTTTCAGGCTGGACAGTTCGTTTCTTTGTACTGGGGGGAGGAGTCGGATCCGAGCAGCTTTTAAGCAGGCTGTTGGCTTCTTTGCTCCTTGAAAATGCTTCCCTGTGTTACAGCAGACCAACAAAGAATCTTGAGTGTTTGCTTAAGTCTATAAAAAACATAAAGTTCAGTTTAAAATTTTTTCTTGCTAGTGTGGATGCAGGGATAGGCCAGATAAGTTCTATGATATTTGAGGGGCTGGGCGTTCTGTGAGTGTGTAGTGTTCAAAAACTTCTGAGACATCTGAGCTCTGAAGTGCAATATGAGTAATGTTCTGCTACTTCATACACCACTGAAAGTGTTGGAATCTAAGCAGTTTTGTTTGCTTATGGCTTTCATTGGTTGCTGAGCGAAGGGGTGAATTTGAGTGCTTATCTGTTTTCATGAAAGTCAAAGCTGCTAGGCAGTGGCATTAAATACTAATTTATTAGCCACACACCAGAATTCAGTGTTTCACCATGAATGTATCTACTAGTTCACCTCTAAGTGAATTTTTATTGCAGCTTTTTTTTCTTTTGCAGCTGACCTTCATGGGTATAAATCGCACAGAAGTGGAAGAAACTGATGAATCTGAGGATATTCCAGGTGGTTTTTTACCTACTGGTGCCTGGCAGACAATAGGAGAAGAAGCACCCAAATACTTTAGAAGAGCACCTACTTTTCACTACATGTAAGTGTCTTCAAGGAAATAGTGTGTACTGCAGCTCAAGGTAATGGCCTTAACTGATTTGTGTTTGATGCCCTGGCTTTACATGAGTTAAACTGAAGTCACAGCAGAGTGTTGACAAGGTGTGAGGCTGTCAACATACTGGAACAACTTTTGGGGATGGTTCTTTGCAGAAATCTGTAAATGTGGTGAAGGTATCCGTCATCACTTTGCGCTTGCTTGAGGAGATCAGTGTAAAGATTCCTAAGCATACAGTGTAAACCAGATTTTCATGTATGTTTTCTTTGTGTTTTGGTTAGGATGGGATCTTTCAAGTCTGAGCCTCCTGTACCAAAGCAACGGATTGAGAGGCAGAGGAAAGCTAGCAGAAGAAAAGCAGAACGGGCAATGCCTGCTCAGGTTTGTTAAGTGTTATTAACCATTTGTTCTGGCATAGTTATTAAAAATTACTTCTCAGTCTTGTAGTTTGTTTGGTTTTGGTTTTGTAATTATAAACTGTAGTGTTTATGATATCCCACCCTTAAGGGGAAGGGAGCATCCATGATCCACAGATGCTTGTGCTGTGCTTATCTCCAGGAGCCAGAACAAGGACGTTTGTCCCAGAAAGGGGCTGCCCCACCTTCACATGGCTCTTTTCTCCAGCTATACCCTGTTGTTTCTCACAGTGTGTGACAACCAGCACTCCTTGGCTGTTATTGCCAGCAATCCTTTGTTAGCTCCACAGCTGTCCAGCTGGAGTTGGAGGCACACACATTAACCCTTTGCCTTCTGAGCTTGTACTAAAGGATTCAGACTCCATTATTAGGTTTCTTGATTTGTTTTGACTGCAGTATTTCACTGAGTGGAAGGAAATAGGATTTACACTCCAATTTTGTGCTCAGAAGTAGGGTTTACAAACTGATTTTCAAGTTAGAGCCTCTTGCTTTAAGAGGAAACAGAAAAACTTCTTTACATTAGTGTGGTTTCCATTTTTCTTTAAGAAGTGTCTAACAGGATGTGACATTTGCACTAAAATGTGGTTAATAGCAGCAAGCTAATTAGCTCACATAACCACTTTTTTGTATTTTCTGTTTTCTTATTCTCTGTGTCATTCACTGGCAGAAAAGCAAAAGTCTGGGAATATTGAAAGAGGCTTATATCTGAAAATGTGAATATAATCCATACTGTTACAGGGAAGCTGAGGCTGTGATAATGCTGGGATAATAGAGGCAAGTGATTGATTGTTGCCTTTTAGAAGGCAGCCTACTCAATCCAAATAACCATTGATAGAAAGGATTTGTTGTAGTTTCTACTGGGGAGAAGAGGAGCTGGAAGGTTTGTGGGTTGCTTACAAATGCTCATCTTCATTAAACTCACAGACTGTAGCATTGTGTAACCCAGCTCCTCGGAGCCATTGACAAGTAAGTGTACACCTGTACATGAGCTCAAAACATACAAGCCATGGCCTTTCAGTTTGATATTGTAAGATTGGAATTAAAACCTAAAGCTCTTCAAGGTTGTCTCATGTTTGCATAAGTGTGTTTGTTATGTTGCATGTAGAAAGAGAAATTCAACTTTTACATTACATGTTCAAAAGAGGCCCTTTTCATATTTTGGTAATTCAACAGCAGTTATTTGAGGTGAATCTCTTGTTTCCTTTTCCCAGTTAAAAAAAATGGAAGAGTCTCATCAAGAAGCTACAGAAAAAGAAGTAGAGAGGATCTTGAGAATACTGCAGACTCACTTTGAAGATGATCGTAAGTATGGTTAAATTAAACATTAACTAGAGAAAATGAATATTCTCTGTCTTCTACAGTTTGGAGTGGTAAAACTACAGAGACAAAATGAGATTAAGTCTGCAAGTAGAAATCTTTGGTGAAGCACATAGATCAACTATGTATTTTTTTTTATGAACACTAATCAGCTGTTGTTTGACTGCAAAGTAAATGTAAATCCTCTCCCCTGATTAATGCCTGCCACTTTTAGATGGCAGTCAAATACTCAAATATGTGGATTTGTGTGGGGGAAAAGATGGAAGAAAATAACATAATCTACAGAACATTTGTTTTTGCTAGCAGTGGGAAATTCTGGATTGTAACTAAATTGATAAACACCCTTTAGCTTTTGAAAGGTGCAGCTTCTCTCTTAAGTTTGTATTTACATCTGTTAGCTCTGTGTATACCACTTGTTGGTTTGTTTGTTTGTTTGAACAAAGCTATTTTTGCATCCCCAGCTAATACACCCATTTCCTTCTTTGATTTTGTCATTGATCCGAACTCGTTTGCACGCACTGTGGAAAACGTGTTTCACGTGTCCTTCCTTACCAGGGTAAGGCATGACATCTTTTTAAAATATCACTTTAGATATTAGAATTACCTAGAAATAGCTGGGGTTTTTTTCTGGCTTCGATATTGGAGAATAAGGATTTAAGTATAAGGAGTACTAATTTATTTTTTGCAAACAGTCCGCGATATTTTGGTAATCAAATTAAAAAGGAAACAGAGTTGACTAATTTTTTTTTTTTGCACTGCAATCAATTTACCAACAAAACAGCAGTGATATTTTTGCAGTCAATATATTTATCAAAAAAGATTCTGGCTCATGTTTTCTGCACATACAGAGAAGTTCGCACAGAGTATGGAAGAGTTACTGAGGCTGTAGAAAACTATGTTAGTGCAAGGTTTTATATTCTTTTTGAATCTGTGGATTTGCACTTCAACACTGTCCTTGGTTTGTCTAATAAATAAAATTAATTCTGGAAAAGATGGAAACTGCCAAGGATATTTTGACTGATTCAGTTTTATATTGAATAGAAATCTTTTTATAAAGGGTTAGCTAAAGAATATTTAGAGAATAATAGCAACTTTAATAAAACATAACTTTTATAATCCAGCAGTTACACACTGTTGCTATATGGACTACCTTCTTTATGGATAAGTGCTGTATTAAACTAGTATTTTCTTATGTGGTATGCCAGTGAAGATTCTTTATTGGTATATGTACCTGTTCATAATTGTGTAATATGTAAAAATATGAAATTTCAGTGTATTATCCTAACTGGAAAACTCTTAAGTTATGAAACTTTAAATCCCACTGTTGTTTAGGATGGTCTTGCAAAAATAAAGCTGGATGAAGATGAATTGCCAATAATAGGTAAAATATAGCTTTAAAATACTCTAATTGGTTTTTGTAACAACATTACATCTTATGTATTCCCAAAGTTTTAGGTATATTTTTAACTGGGGATATGCAGTGAATGTAATTGAAGGTGTGAAGAGATTTATGAGCAGCTGAAAAGAATGAGTCTTTTCAAATACCAATGTATGGAAAAGGACCATTATGCTGATTTATACCAATTTATTCTGTTAATAGAAATCAAATATTACTGCATTTCAAGTTATATTTTTGCTAATAAGTACATGAACATTATTATATTTGGCTGAAAAAAAGATATCTTTGGGTGTAAGAACTCTCTTGTCTCAGAGTTGGGAACTGCTACAGCTTCAAAACAGTTGGAAGGGAAGTTCTTCATTGAATGAAGAATTCATTCTCCATTCTTCATACAAGGCTGGCTTTCACTCCCACAGTTTATCAGTGGGGTTAGCACTTTGGTGAGATATTGTAAGGAATTAAATATTTAGGTCCTTCTGAAAAAAAAGTTAATTCCTAAATTTTTAACATGTGAGACTAAGGAAGTATAACAAGCAGTACAGGCTGCTGATAGAGACTTAAGTGGGTAGAGTGTGTAGGATTGATGTGATTTTTGTGGAGCTTTTGTGTTCCTGGTGGAAACTGGCTTTACAAGTCCTGAAAATGCTGTGTTTTGATCAGAGCCTATAAAACCCAGCGAGGGAGGAGAAGAGGAGGACAGCAGAGCTGGAGCACGGAACCAGGTGGTCATAAGTCTGAACCAGAAAGAATGGAAGGTACCATGGAGAGCACTTCATACTTTGGATCAGTTGTTTTTTATTTAAGCCTCTGAGAGCTGTGCTGGGGAGGGCAGGTGTTTTGTGTACAGAAACACTGCATTTGACCTTATGGATGCCAGAGCAATCACAGATCTAAGGGATGTTTGTAGCTGCAGGAAAACTGAGAGTTTGGGCCTGTTCAGTTTAAGTGCTTTGAAGCTGTGCACTGACTTCGCTTTTGTACAAGGCCTGGGTAAATATGGAATCTGTTTCTTCCCATATGTACAATACTTGTCTCTGGAGGCAAAGTTATCCATGCAGTTTCCTGATTGTTTGGAATAAATCTTAAGACAAAAAGTACTTTTGAGCACCACATACTTCTCCTTTGTCCCTCACTCAGAATGTGCAGGAGAGATGTAATTTGAAATAGTGCTTTAGTATCAGAAACTTTATTGCTTGCTGGTGGTGATTCAGTTCAAATAGTTCAGCTCTGCTGACTGACTCACTCTGTCATCTCTATCAGGAGATCATAGAAACATTTCAGATAAGAGAAGCCATGATTACACCTCCTTATCAGGCCACTGAAGAGGAAATGGAGACAGAATAACTATTCAAGTAAGTTCTTTTAACAAATCAAACCCAGTAAGTTTCTTATGCATGTGGGAGAATTTCAGGGAAACTATGTGTGACTTAAACGTGCAGAAGAACTGTGAGCAGGGTGACTGTAACATCTGGAATTGCTGTGTCCTTGCCCTCTTCATGAAACAAAACGTAATCTAGGCTTGTATACAAATTATGAACTAGGGAAAAATCCCTTTGAGCTTGATGGTCAGTTAAGTGATGCATTATTTTTTGGAACTTTATACTCAGAATGCAGTGTTGAAAAGAATCATAGCTTAGTTTTTCTGTTTGATTTCTTAACTTCCTGACATCTGATGTTGTTAGCAAAGTAGTCTGAAGAAGGACTTAGAGGGAACCAGGCAGTCTTCCCTTCTGCTTCCAGAAAATTCTTGCCATGATAGGAATGAAGTCCTTACTGTCACAGTTACTTGATCAGCTCCTGGTGTTAATGCATGTTGTCTTACTGTCTTCTCTTTTTTGTTTTTCTTTCTCCTTAGGTGCCTTAAAGAAAATACATCAGAACATTTGTTTCAACAATTGTTGTATATGTATATGTTGTAAAAATAAATTTATTTTTTCTGGAACACCTCGATGCTTTATACAAGCTGCTTTGTTTAGAACCATGGAATGGGTTGGGTCAGAAGGGACCTTAAATCCCACCCAGTGCCAACGCCTGCCATGGCAGGGACACCTTCCACTATCCCAGGTTGCTCCAAGCTGTGTCCAACCTAGCCTTGGACAAAAGAGGGACCCAGGGGTAGCCACAGGTGCTCTGGGCAACCTGAGGAAGTTTAGGCTTGTCACAGTTATTTATATATTACGGCTCAGTTTGCTATTTCATATGACGCTAATGAAAAAGGGAAAAAGGAAACACTGTCCCTTCTTTCCTCCCTTGCCTCACCCCAGCAGCAAATGGGAGTCACATGGTTAAACATCCCTGCTGGGATAATCTTGAAATTCTACATGATTTTGGGTGCTGCAGGAGAATTGATATTGCCCTGCTGTTCTTGCTATTCTGGAAGCAAAGGTTTGAGTTTGGAAATTCAGTCTCAGTTACAGATAGCAGTTCCACCTTCCTTTATTTCAAACTCCTCCTGTATTTGTTTGGTACTTTGGGCATTGACCAGGCCAGCTCTATGGGGCCACAACATTATTTTATAAAAGTATTTATGTGGAAGTCTTGTTCCGTTTTAGAAAACGCTCTGTGGAAGAGCCCAGGATTTCTTCCACCCTTTTATCCTGCTGTAGCAGCTGAGGGGGGTAGCCAGGGCTCCATCCCCGCGGGGGAGGCTGTGCGGGCACGGCCCGGGAGCCGCAGCGCTGCTCGCTGCTCGCTCCCCGATCCGCCCGCGGGGGAGGCTGGGCCGGGCCGGGCGTGGCGGGGGCGCTGCGGGGCCGCGGCGCCATGCCCGCCGCCGTGGTGGAGTACAAGGGCTGGAAAGAAGGCTACGGCTGCGGCTACTGCGGCGCGGCGCGGGGCAAGGTGTCGGCGGGTGAGCGGGGCCGGGGGCCGGGCCGGGCTCGGAGCTCCCTCAGCCCCGCCGCGCTGCCCGCGCGGAACATGGCGGCGGCGGCGCTTCCTGCGCGCGCCGCCCGCGCGCCGCCCGCAGCCAAGATGGCGGCGGGCGCCGCTTCCGCGCGGCCCGGGGCGCTGACCTGAGGCGGGCGGGGATGGCGGCGGGCGGCGGCTCGCCGAGCATCGTCGAGTTCTTCGGCGGGGAGGATGGCTACCGCTGCGGCTACTGCAGGAGCGACACCGGCAACCTCTCGCACGGTGCGGGCGGGGCGGGCTGGCAGCGGGGCCGCCCGCGGCCGGCCCAGAAGCGGCGGGGCCGGGGAGGGCGGCCGGGGGCTGCTGCCGAGCCGCCGCCTGTCCCGGCTGCCCGGCGGGAGCTCGGGGCGGCGCCGATGGCCCGGGACAGGACTGAGCAGCGATTTTGTGTTGATTTCCTTGTTTATTTCTGGGAGTGGGAGGTGCGGAGGGGATCTTAGCGCTGGTGCGGTCAGAGAAATCTGGTTGATTGCATCCCAAGATTTGTGCTGGGCTTAGGGTTTTTGCGTATAACGTGGTTATTGAAATCAGTAATTACGGCATACGTGTCAAATCTTTGAAAGACATCTATGCATAAGTGGCCATTAGCTACTCAGATTTGCAGTAACCACAGGATAACAGAATGGTTTGTGTTGGGAGGACCTTAAATCCCACCCGGTGACATTTCTGGGACACTTTTCCCTGTCCCAGGCTGCTCCAAACCCCATCCAGCCTGGCCTTGGGCACTGCCAGGGATCCAGGGGCAGCCACAGCTGCTCTGGGCACCTGTGCCAGGGCTCAGCACCCTCACAGCCAGGAATTCCTTCCCAATTTCCATCCCTGCCCTCTGGCAGTGGGAGCCATTCCCTGTGTCCTGTCCCTCCATCCCTGTCCCCAGCCCCTCTCCAGGATCCCTTCAGGCTCTGAGCTCTCTCCGGAGCCTTCTCCTCTCCAGGTGAGCTCCCCCAGCTCTCCCAGCCTGTCCTGCAGAGTTTGTTGTGTTTTAAAGCCAAACCATGGTCAGTCAAGTGTGCTGCTGTGTTATTTGTTTCAGGCATGTGGGCACATTCGATGACAGTTCAAGATTACCAGGATCTCATAGACAGAGGATGGCGAAGGTACATTGGAAAAGAAAATACAAAGCCGTGTTGTCGGTTGAGATTAAAGTTAGGATCCACATTTAAAGTTTAGATCTATAGAAAAACTTAAATATCCATGAGTAATTGAACTATTTGTCCAGTGCTCTGTGACCTTTTGTAACATGACACTGTCAAACAGGAAAATATTCAGTGATTTTAGAAGGATAATACAGTCAGCAAAGAACTGAAGAACTTGCTCTTTGACTTTTCATCGTGAAATGTTTTGATGTGATTTTTATTAAAAAGCTTCATTTATTTTGTAGCATAAACAACAAAAAAATCAATGCATATTTATTATTGTTTCAGAAGTGGAAAATACGTCTACAAACCTATCATGAATCAAACATGTTGTCCTCAATACACAATAAGGTAAGAAACTCAAAGTACACTTTTGTAAGGGATTTGACCACTTCAAATATATTGAATCACCATTTGTGTTTGCTGCTTGAAATACATCTTACTTGAGAAGCTGTTCTACTTTTAATGATACTTTAAACACTAAATATATGCTCTTGGGTTTGTGTGTAGGGACATCAGCAGCTCTGGGATATTTCCCTGTAAGGAATCTTGTCTGTAACCCACAAACACTGCTTTGAGAGTTTGAGAGGCTTACATTTGTATTTTAGTAATTCTAGAGAGACATAAAAAATATGCTGTAAGGACTGATATTATTCAGTAGAAGACAAGGTCATTTCATTATCTCAAAAGTGTTGATAAAACATTTGACAACTCTGTATAGGGAGACTTAGGAAATAAATAGAGATTACAATGTAAGTTTTGTAAATGGTTCCTTAACCTTTTTTTTGCCTGAAACAATTTTTCACAAAAGAAATTTTTTTTTGTTTTTTAGGTGCCAGGCTTTGCATTTTCAGGCCTCCAAGTCCCACAAGAAGGTTCTGAAGAAAATGTTGAAATTCATTACCAAAGGAGATGTCTCGAAAGTAGCAAGTGAAGGTAGGAAAAGCTGAGTATTTGAAAACCAATACTGATGGAAGGAGGATTTAAATTCCTGCTTGAGTGGTCAGATGGCAAATGGGCTTTGAATTATTTGTGTAGACCCCCAGCTAGGCTGTTCCTTGAGCACTTCAGTAGCCCAGAAGGCAAATTGTTCAGGTGGCTGGGGTTATTGAAGAAAATATTTCCTTACTTTTTCCACAACCAGCTTATTTTCCTGGTCATGTCCTCACTTTCTAGCTGGGTGCTGTAGAGAATTAAATGCTGTTTTTACTTCTATCATGAAACTGATAATCTGGAGAGGATTAACTAGAGCAGATGGTCGCATAGAAAAGGAAGAGCAAACAAAGAGGGTTTTTCCAGTCACCCTCCATTTATCTAGCACCAAACCTAGCAATTCTTCATGGCAGTGAAACTTATATTGGTTCTGAATCTTTATAATCTGCTTGTTTTGTATGTGTGGTATGCTAGGTTTGTTTGTTGTTATTTGTTTGAAGTTATGGCTTGAAATAGTGACTGTCCAGTTTTAGTGGAGAAAATAAAGCTGTTCTCATAAATGAATTGATGTTCATAATTCAGGATCATAAAGAAAACTTTGTTTTCAGACTGTTGCAATAGTCACTTTATCTATGGGAAAACACTTGTAAAATTGGAAACTAGTTAACTTAGTATTAATTTTAGTTGTGGAAAGTGTGATCTGTGGTTGTACAGAGAGAAATTCACTCATGCATGTTTTAATTATTGACAGAAGAGCCGATGGATTCCCATATAGAAGATGTGGCCACGTGTGATTTTCCATACAAAAGCGAGTCTCAGGTCAGTCAGTCTGAGCTGACTCCCTTGGCTGTGGATCAAGCTGAGAAGGTGGAGAATGAAGATAAGGACTCGGGAGAAACAAAAGAAGAGGGGGATGTGCCGAAGGTGGAATCGGATTCTGTTCACATCTGTGCAGACAAAGACACCCCAGTCCCTGCAGAACCATCTCATTCAGCTAAAGCTGTTCATGCACCACCCAAGCCAGGTAATTTCTGGTAGCAATTGGAATATGCTGTCAACATTTCACATCTTCTTGAAATCTCTTCTTTTTATCTTGCTTAGTAAGTTTATAATTGTTTTGTTTGTGCTCCTCTCAGTTTAGAATTACAGTGTAAAAATCGAGAGGTGCTGGGTGTTACATGTAATATTGTAATTTATATTTTGTTACATTAAAAAGTTATATTTATCTTCTTTTATTCACCTTAAGGAAGACTAAATCTCTAAGATCTGAAAGTAAAGAGGGGAGATTCAGAATAGAAATTTTTTATGATGAGGTTGGGGGTGCCCAGAGACGCTGGGGCTCCCCCATCCCTGAAGGGTTCAAAGCCAGGTGGATGGGGCTTGGAGCAACCTGGGACAGTGGAAGGTGAACTTTGAAAGGTCTCTTCCAGCCCAAATCATTCTGTGCTTCAATGGCTGCTTTCTCTTGGGGCATGGATGATTTCTGGCAGGAGGATGGTAAGGGCTGGGTAGATTATTACCAGAATAATTTATTTAAGGTGGAATTACTGACAGACACTTTGTGGCCCAGAGGCTGCCCAGCCTTGTTTTACAGATCTTGTTTCCCATTTTGTGTAGCCTGTTCTGGCAAATAAAGGGAATTTTCTTAATTGTGGTTTACTGGTACATGGTAGGGAAAATCCTATTGGAAACTTGTGGCTTTAGAGTTTCTGACTGTGTTGGGACATCCTGCTAATTCCTGATTTCACTCACCTGTTGCATGTTGTGCCAGTATTTAGGAGAAGGAAGTACTTTTGTCACCTTTTGTAGAATTGCTGCTTTCAAGTGAAATAATGTTTTTTCCTTAATAATCACTCATCCCTATTGGATCTGATTTTCGCCAGCTAATAAGCAATTTTTGCATCTAAATAAAAAGAAAATTTTCAGAAATGCTTGCTCAGAGAGTCAGTAGTGTTGCATAGAAATACTACAGGATTTTTAAAACTGTGTTTTATATTTTGATCTTATACAAACCTTTCTAACCCTTATATAGTTATTGTTTCTATTACTTTTATTGTGCAAACTTTCAAAGCTCTCTTATTTTAAATAATAAATGTAAAACTTTGGCCTATGTAAACTTAGTATTGGAAAGAAATTAAGTGGCTGTTGACAGCAGATGGCAGACTTGGGTAAGGAATAGGAATGTAAAAACCTGCCAGTGCTTTGGAAAAGGTGAGGTAAGGTCTTCAGTCAGGTTAAGAATAACTTTGAGTCAAACTTTCAGGACTGGAAATGCAGATAAGTAACGCTGTAGTTCATTTCAGGAAAATAAAGTTTACTTTTACAGAGCAGAAATACTCATTAGTGTGCTTCTTTCTGGTATTTCTAAAGATAGAGTGAATATAAGTGCATCAGAAAGCTTATTTAATTTTTTTTTAAATGCTAGCTGGTGTCACAGGTCAAATTTAGTTTAAAATTTTCCAGATAGAAACATGTTCAGTTTTCATCTTGGAAAATGTAGACTTAGTCAGTAATAAGGTTGTTTAATTGCATTTTTATTCCTTTATAAACAAAACAGGTCATTGTCCTCTAGGAATAATGGTCTGTTTCTGCACAGTTTCAGATAGAAAAGAAGGTTTGCTTATATCTGTGTAGGCGCAGTCACTGCTTGAAGTTTTTCTTGCTAATTTACAGCTTACAGAAGATCCGAGACACGAAACAGATCCCGATACAGATGAAGCACTCATTCTTCAAATATACCATGAGAGTTTTAAATAAACTCTTCCTCTGACTTGTTTGCCTGAGGACAGGTCACACAGTGTCTGTAATTCCCTCATGTCTTTGGATCTGTGTTGCTTTACAACTCACAGTTCTTGTATTAATAAGGAACAAATGGATCAAGATGAGAAACAGTGCATGGGTTTGACTTCTCCTTTTAGCAAATACCACTTCACATATAGAATTCTATAAATGACTGACCTGTTAAAGATAGAGGTAACCTGCAAAAAGTGAATTTATTGATTAAAACAGACAATCTGAAGATAGTTTTAAGCAAAGATGCAAAACTTCCGTGGCCTTTTGCATTACATGACCATAATAGCATTGGCAGCATTTCTACATCCTGCCTTTGGATTGCAGGTGAGAAAAAAATAAATGCTTTATTTT